CCCCCAGCAAAAAATGAGTAGTAGGGGGTAATCTGACAGCCAGTGGCATCTCTAGTGCTGGGCATTGACACTGCAATCCTATATTCCTCTATACCCAGTGGTGTATTTAGGTTTTATGCTGCCCTAGGCAACACAAAAATCAGCGCTCCCCCCATCCTCTGCAGAGAGAGCCTGACATTGACCAACAACACCTTGCCCCCCCACCAGAAAAAGCCTTCCACTACCACTGCCCCCCAACACCAGCCACCATCTCCCATAGCGAGAGAGAGTGTTGGATCCCAAAAAAACAAAACAAAAAATAAAAACACACTTAAGGAGAGGTCTGCATTTCTGGCAGGATCATTAGGTATTTTTCAGTACTTGTATTATTATTTTTAAAGAAACAGAAGATGGGAAATCATGCATATAATGAAAATCTGTGCTGAAATTATGTATAATTTTATTTTTTTTTTTGAAGGTTGTCCAAACATACACTTTAAGTCAAAACCGATTTGAATTCTTATTTCTGACCAGTGACTCAAGTGTTGGCACACCGAAGGATTGGCAAAACCAGCATACACTGAAACATCAGTTTCTCATTTTAGATCGTAGAGACTTGCAAGTCACAAGAAATGAGCTTAACATAATAGCTGTGGTTATCATTTAGCCCAAAATAACTAAAAATCACAGTGCTCTCTTTTCATAACACTTCTGTACTGAAGGCCATGATTATAATTGACATAAAGCAACATTAAAACTTAATTTGCATTATACTTCAACCCATTATGCCAGTGTATGAAGAGAAAGCACTGTACATATAAAATACATAAAGATTTAGCAATAACATTGATACATAGCAAAGGAAATGCTCCAGGCAGCAGTGACAGAGGGTGCAAACTATGACAACACTTCAGAGGGAATTAGACCTGCCATAGCATCTGATAGAATCAATTTGCAGCTTGACATATACGTGAAAAGGACTGTGCATAGGCAAATTGTGATCCCCTATTATTAATGAAAACTTGAACTTCATCTGATATAATTTACAGTCTTGGAAATAGAATTGTGCAAATTGAGGTATTCACACAAACCAGAAATTCAATTAAATCAGGTTACCAATTCTGTAGTATGGTGCTGGACATGCATACGCTGCCCCAATCTTCCTAATTCTCACAGGAAGACTTCAATTATATGAGGGATGGAGAAATTGCACATTTTACAAAATCCTGTGGAGTATAACCTATTGAAATGTCCTCATACTTTAAAAGAAGAAAATGGACACGCCATGCTAGCTGTTACCAAGTACTGTCAACCTCTCATGCAGGAGCTTCCAGCAGCCTCTCTGCCAATTTACTGTACTGAGCAATCTCTGCGTTTCATTGTGGTAAGCATAGCGCAAGTCAAGCGCCTCATTCATGTTACTATTTAAAGTAACCTACATTTACACACTCTCCCAAATACGCTCCTGAGTGCAGTTTTACAAACGTCTGAGGATCGTTGCTGCTAATCTCCACATTTAGATTTGTCTGATGTGCTGAAAATGGTTGGAGCCTCTAAGCTGTGGCCCCGGGGGCCATATGCAGCTCTTTGCTTGCCTTTCCAGCCCTTGGGGCACCATTCTATCCACTGACTCCAACAGGGCTATATTATTCCCACTGACACCAATGCTGAAGCACTATTTCCTCCACCGACACCAATGACGGGGCAGTATTCCTCCCACCGACACCCAATGACGGGGCAGTATTCCTCCCACCGACACCAATGACGGGGCAGTATTCCTCCCACCGACACCAATGACGGGGCAGTATTCCTCCCACCGACACCAATGACGGGGCAGTATTCCTCCCACCGACACCAATGACGGGGCAGTATTCCTCCCACCGACACCAATGACTGGGTACTATTCCTCCCACCGACACCAATGACTGGGTACTATTCCTCCCACCGACACCAATGACTGGGTACTATTCCTCCCACCGACACCAATGACTGGGTACTATTCCTCCCACCGACACCAATGACTGGGTACTATTCTTCCCACCGACACCAATGACTGGGTACTATTCCTCCCGACACCAATGACTGGGTACTATTCCTCCCACCGACACCAATGACTGGGTACTATTCCTCCCACCGACACCAATGACTGGGTACTATTCCTCCCACCGACACCAATGACTGGGTACTATTCCTCCCACCGACACCAATGACTGGGTACTATTCCTCCCACCGACACCAATGACGGGGCACTATTCCTCCCCCGACACCAATGACGGGGCACTATTCCTCCACCGACACCAATGACGGGGTACTATTCCTCCACCGACACCAATGACGGGGTACTATTCCTCCACCGACACCAATGACGGGGTACTATTCCTCCACCGACACTGACGGGGGTACTATTCCTCCACCAACAATGACGGGGTACTATTCCTCCACCAACAATGACGGGGTACTATTCCTCCACCAACAATGACGGGGTACTTCCTCCACCAACAATGACGGGGTACTATTCCTCCACCAACAATGACGGGGTACTATTCCTCCACCAACAATGACGGGGTACTATTCCTCCACCAACAATGACGGGGTACTATTCCTCCACCAACAATGACGGGGTACTATTCCTCCACCAACAATGACGGGGTACTATTCCTCCACCAACAATGACGGGGTACTATTCCTCCACCAACAATGGACGGGTACTATTCCTCCACCAACAACCAGACGGGGTACTATTCCTCCACCAACAATGACGGGGTACTATTCCTCCACCAACAACGACGGGGTACTATTCCTCCACCAACAACGACGGGGTACTATTTCCTCCACCAACAACGACGGGGTACCCTCCACCAACAACGACGGACTATCCGGGTACTATTCCTCCACCAACAACGACGGGTACTATTCCTCCACCAACAACGACGGGGTACTATTCCTCCACCAACACCGACGACGGAGTACTATTCCTCCACCAACAACGACGGGGTACTATTCCTCCACCAACAACGACGGGGTACTATTCCTCCACCAACAACGCACCCTCCACCAACGACGGGGTACTATTCCTCCACCAAACGGGGTACTATTCCTCCAACCAACGACGGGGTACTATTCCTCCACCAACGACGGGGTACTATTCCTCCACCAACGACGGGGTACTATTCCTCCACCAACGACGGGGGTACTATTCCTCCACCAACGACGGGGTACTATTCTCCCCACTATTCCTCCACCAACGACGGGGTACTATTCCTCGCACCAAAGACGGGGTACTATTCCTCCACCAACGACGGGGTATGACGGGGTACTATCATCCTCGCACCAACACCAATGACGGGGTACTATTCCTCGCACCAACACCAATGACGGGGTACTATTCCTCGCACCAACACCAATGACGGGGTACTATTCCTCCCACCGACACCAATGACGGGGTACTATTCCTCGCACCGACACCAATGACGGGGTACTATTCCTCCCCACGGGGCACTATTCCTCCCACCGACACCAATGACGGGGCACTATTCCTCCCACCGACACCAATGATGACGGGGCACTATTCCTCCCACCGACACCAATGACGAGGCACTATTCATCCCACCGACACCAATGACGGGGCACTATTCCTCCCACCGACACCAATGACGGGGCACTATTCCTCCCACCGACACAATGACACTATTCAACACACCAATGACGGGGCACTATTCCTCCCCACCGGGGTACTATTCCTCCACACTATTCCTCCACCAACGACGGGGTACTATTCCTCCACCAACGACGGGGTACTATTCGGGGGGTACTATTCCTCCACCAACACAAATGACGGGGTACTATTCCTCCCACCAACACAAATGACGGGGTACTATTCCTCCCACCAACACCAATGACGGGGTACTATTCCTCCCACCAACGACGGGGGGCACTATTCCTCCCACCAACACCAATGATGGGGTACTATTCCTCCCACCAACACCAATGATGGGGCACTATTCCTTCCACAACACCAATGATGGGGCACTATTCATTCCAATGACACCAATGATGGGGCACTATTCCTCCCACTGACACCAGTGATGGGGCACTATTCCTCCCACTAACACCAGTGATGGGGCACTATTCCTCCCACCAACACCAATGATGGGGTACTATTCCTCCCACCAACACCAATGATCGGGCACTATTCCTTCCACTAACACCAGTGATGGGGCACTAATCCTCCCACTAACACCAGTGATGGGGCACTATTCCTCCCACTAACACCAGTGATGGGGCACTATTTCTCCCACTAACACCAGTGATGGGACACTATTCCTCCCATTATATAAAAGATTAGGCATTTTCTACTGCCATTAGACACACTCCCAATGTCTGAAGGACAGTAAACTGGCCCTTTGATTAGTAAGTTTGGAGACCCCTGCTTTAAACTGTTGAGTCAAACTAACCCAACCGACTGCGAATCTGTGTATGTTCTTTTGCCCACGTGAAATAGGATTTGCATTTCCATACAGGAATTTGAAAATGCAAAACCTGCTTGAAGCAGATCAGCTGCAGGTCTGTGGCACCTGTTAAATTCTGGCCAAAGCGCATTGACACAGACCCTAAAGCCGATGTATGAGTAATACTTTATATAGCTAGCCTGCAAATTCTAATACATGAAACTGTAAATATGATCAATCAACCCCAGAGGGGCGATGGACCTCCTGCATACAACCACAAGAAATCTCTCTGCAGCTGTTTTTTTTTTTCCTAAAGAACCTAAATCGAATCTCCAGTTTTCATGCAATAGCTCCAGTGTTTCTACACTCCAAAGACTGGAGCTGGAAAGCAGCAACTGCGCCATCACCTATTCCTTGAAGACAGCACTTCACATTCATTTGAAAAACTCCTCTTTGTAACTATGCCTTTAACAGCATAAATGATGGGTTATGGGGAAATATACCTCCTATGCACCAGAACTATTCAGATATTGAGCAAAGTACCAAGAACAGCAAAAGCCCGCTATCCTTTACCTCAAACTGTAGTGGAGTATTGCAGCGGCTAGCAGCGAGGGATGGGATGGGAGAGAACAAGAGTCCATATGCATATCGGGATTCCTCTTCACCGGGAAGGGAAGAGCTAGGTGTGGTCTGCAGTGGACTGAGGGAATCTGTGGTGGTGGAATTAGGAAGAGCAGGGGGAAATGGTACTGGGCTTGACACCATGGCAGAGTTTTCTTCCAAGATGTATTTAGTCTTCCACTTTTTTAAAGGGGCTGTAACTTCTGTGGAGTAAAAACAATACAAATTAGTAAGAGGACAGTGTCATTTTATCAGATTGTGCACAACTGAAAGAACAATGCATCAATAACATGTAGCAAACTATTCATTGGCTACCACATAATGATGAGCAAAATATAAACGTTGATACGAAACCTTCTCGTTTTAGATAAAGTGTGGAAAGGGTAGAACCCTGGCCAAGTTTCAACTGCTGTTCCTGACCCTATAGGGATAATAAAAAAATGACTTGGTCCATGATGGTGCTGCCAAGTGATGTGAATTTCCATAAGCTGTCAGAGACTGCAAAAATACCCAGGATTTTCTACTTCTTTCCAAATCTACTACAGAACCGCTCATGCTTGAGGAGATGAGGGAGGGAGGGGGGGACGTGTTCAGTAGTGCAGCAGGGGAGAACTCAGGCAGGGCTGATGACACTGCTTGGGTGACAGCGCTGTTAGCCCACTACAGGATGTCTGTTAGGATCTACAGATTTTCCATAAGGAAATGTGCATGTAATACAGAGATGTACTTAATACTTAAAATGGTATTAGACCCAAAAATGTCATATATTGCAGCTTACTAATCCTTAGATGTGGCTGCATATTTTCCTCTGTTTTCACCTGATTTGCCCAGTAACACCCTTCCTGTATTGCAGTGCCTACACTCTGGATGAGGGAGCAAAAGAGACCCCTTTGGACAGCAGCACTGTTAATATGGAGGGAGGGGAGTTTTGGATGGACTAGCAGATTTAAAAAAATACAATAACTTTTAGGCTGAACTCCAGACAACAATGTTTAAGCTGTTACAGCAACAGTTTTTTTCTTCTTTTGAGATAAATATTTTACAAAAAATTGACATTGTGAGCAACCCTGTGATTGGTAGTTTGTCCCAACCCTCTAACTGCTACAACTGCAAGACAGCTACACCAGGTGTAAATAAAACCTGTAAAAAGAAAACTATTGCAGCCACCACATCTAAGAACTGGTAAGCTGCAGAATAAAAGGTTTGCTTTAGGGTTTAAATACCACTTTAATAAAGGTCCATAAGAAAACACAGCATTGTAAAGTGTCAATATATTACACTATTTTTAAGAGCATCACAGTCTACCTTCAAAAAAAAAAAAAAAGGCTGTGTTGAGAAGTTTGTGAAAGTGCAACAATCACAAAATGTTCATAGGGGGCAGAAGCGTACCTGTATTGGTTCCATTGTTGGATGAGCAGTTGCTCTCATTACTTTGGTATAAAGGTTGGGAGTTTTCCTGTACAGAGCTGGCTGGTTGTGTCACAGCCTCTTCCAAGGCTAGTTTCATCCAGCGCTAGCAGTGAGAAGAATGAGATTTGTTTAGAAGCAGAATAAATTGCAGTGAACACAATGTATACTAGCATAAAACTACAGCACATTTCTTCGCACACTGCAGACATATTGCTGGTTATATAAAGTCTATGCAAACATTGACAGTCAACTTCTTATACTTCCATTTTGGTCTTTTTAAATATACCACCTGAAGCATTTTGCCAAATCTAATAAATGAAAAAATACCAATCTTGGTAAATTCAGAGCAGTCCTGTGTCCGCTGCACACTTGTGTTCTCAGAAAGATTTCTTTGTTATCCTGGACTACAGAATAATTTGCCTTTATGCTGAAGTGAAAGTTCAAGTGGTTGTGTAGTTTCGTAAACAGCTGGGAGAGCTGACATAACTAACTCAGTCCACAAAATGATGTGTTGTCAGCCCAGAACAAAGAGTGGCATATTAGCTATTTTTGTACCTGATCTTTAATGTGATGAATACATGAACATTTCTCCGTGTTTTCTCTTCTTCCTAGAACCAGCCTCCCCTTTTCCTGTGCCCTTTGGAATGCCTGCTCTGTCTGACACTCACCTCTGTGCATGACATTTTCATTACAAACTCCTTTAACCTACTTGCAATTATGGAAACCTGGCTTCATGAATCTGACTTTCCCTTTCCTATTCTCCTCTCTCATGGTGGTCTCCTCTGGACTCACTCCCCCAGGCCTAGTGGATGGAAAGGAGGTGGAGTTGAAATTCAATCCCCTCAAAGCACTTTTCAGGTCCTTCCATTCACGTCCGTCTCCTCATCTGAAGTTCACTGTATTCGTCTATTCTCTCCAATTTCTTTACGAATTGCTGTGAATTATCGTTCTCCTGGACTGGTATCAAGCTTCCTTGACTTCTCTGCCTGGCTGCCTTGCTTTCTCTCATCTGAAATTCCCACTATCATTCTTGGTGACTTCAACATCCCTGTTAATCTGAACACTCCTACTTCTAAACTTCTGAGCCTAACCACTTCTTTTGACCTAAAACAATGGACACATGCTTCTACTCACTCTAATGGTAACTGCATCGACCTTGTATTCTCCTACATATACACACCTTGCAACTTCACCAACTTTCCCTTTCCTCTTTCTGATCACTCCCTCATTAGCTTCACTCTCTCCTTGGCTGCCTACTCATCTTCCAACTACCGAACAGTTACCCGTAGAAACCTTCGCCATCTTAACCCTTCTCTTTTTTTCAGCAACAGATTGTCTCTGACAAAATCTCAGGCCTGTCCTGCCTCCAACCTGGCCACTTCTGTCTACACGGTCATCCACCATGGACACACTACACACAGCATTAGGTCCCGACCACCACAGCCCTGGCAAAAACACAATACCAGATGCCTCAAAAAACGTAGCCGTGCTCTTGAGTGTTTATGGTGTAAGACTAAGACCCAGCAAGACTTCAACCAATATAAATCTGCCCTTCAAAAACACAATTCTTGTCTCCACACTGCCAAAGAAACCTATTTTATCCCTCTCATTAACACCCTCTCACGCAATCCCCCATCAACTTTCTACCTTTAACTCTACTTCATTCTTCTTTACCTCCACCCACTCACTGTCCAGGAGATCACTAAAAAAAATAAGATACTTCGTGACGAGATCTCCACTGTACAGATATCTCCCTCACTCTACACTCCTTGTCCACCTGTACAATCTATACTTCTTGTTTAACCCAGCTACTGTAGAGATTGGTAAAGTTTTTCTAAAGACCACCCAACAACCTGTCCCCTGATCCCTCACAAATACTACGGTCATCCTCTGGCTCTATCCTTCACTCCAACTCATATCTTCAATCTCTCCCTTTCTACTGGCATCTTCCTCAACCCTCCAAACTCGTTGAACGTCAAGTCTACAACCGGCTGAGCTGCCACCTTATTGCGAATAACCTTCTCGATCCCCTTCAGTCGGGCTTTCGCCCACAACACTCCACAGAAACTGCTCTCTTAAAACTCACAAAATACTTACTAGCCGCAAAAACCAATGGTCATTCTTCCATACTCTCTCTTGGACATTTTTGCTGCCTTCGGCACAGCTGCCCACCCCCTCCTCAAAAAAACACAAAACAAAAAAAAAAAAAAAACTTTGGCTCTGTGACTGTACGCTCCGTTGGTTGGAATCATACCCATCTCACCGCACCTTCAGTGTCACTTACAACTCTACTTCCGCCTCTTCTACTCCTCTTACTGTTGGGGTCCCCCAAGGTTCTGTCCTTGGACCTCTCCTATTCTTGATCTACGCTTCTTTCTTGGGTCAGCTGATAGCTTCCCATGGTTTCCAATACCATTTCTATGGCGACGAGACACAAATCTCTCTACTCCTCAGCTCACCCCATCAGTTTCCTCAAGTATCACCAGTTTACTAACAGACAGACTGGATGTCACACCGCTTCCTAAAACTCAATCTATCCAAAACGGAGCTCATAATATTTCCTCTCCCACCTGCCTCTTCCCCCGATTTCTTGGTCAGGATCAATAGCACCATCAACCCATCCCCGCATGCCCGGGTGCTAGGGGTAACCCTGGATTCTGAACTATCCTTTCAGGCTCACATCCTATCCCTGTCCAAATCATGCCGCCTCAACATCTCCAGAATACGCCCCTTTTTAACCAACGATATCACAAAGCTAATTCACTCCCTGGTAATCTCTCGCCTCAACTACTGCATCTCCCTCCTCATTGGCTTACCTTTACATAGGCTATCCCCCCTCCAGTCCACTATGAATACTGCTGCCAGACCCATCCACCTTTCAGTGTCTGCTACCCCTTTCTGCCAATCCCTCCACTGGCTTCCACTCACCCAACAAATAAAATTAAAAATACTAACATGCAAAGCTATCCACAACTCTGCCCCCAACTACATCACCAACCTGGTCTCAAAATATCAACCAAACCGCCCTCTTTGATCCTCTCAAGACCTTCTGCCCTCTAGTTCCTGTGCCACCTCCTCCCATGCTCGCCTCCAGGACTTCTCCCAAGCTTCTCCCATCCTATGGAACTCCCTACCTCAATCTGTCTGGCTTTTTCCTAATCTATCCACCTGAAGATGATCCCTGAAAACCTCTTTAAAATAGCTTATCCTGCATCTAACTAGTAAACTGTCTTTTATTTCCTCCATCAGCTCATCCCCCCACAGCTATTACCTCTTGTATCGCTCAATTCTTCCTCCTAGATTGCAAGATTTAACGAGCAGGGCTCTCTATTTCCTCTTGTACCAAATTGTATTAAACCTGTAATGTCTACCTTCATTTTGTAAAGTGCTGCGCAAACTGTTGGCGCTATATAAATCCTGTATAATAATAGTAATGTATTGCAGAGATGTGCTACATGTGTATGTATTTTAATCCCTTGATATGTGCTTTTACTGAATATTTTGGCATGAAATAACTACAGAACTGTCAGAACCAGAGGTTGGCTTTCAGGTGTAACTAAAGGGAACATTTCTCCCCCCCCCCCAAATTTTATTTTGGATGGAGTAAGGGGTTGTAACTGGTCAGTTTTTTTTTTCGCCATCTGTGTCCCATGGGAGAGATTTCCCTTCACTTCCTGTCTCACGGCCAAAACAGGAAGTGAGAAAGTTAGAGGAAATGAAAACTGACCGGTATTGTAATCCTTCCCACTCTAAACAAATAAAAAAAAGTTTTGCCTATAGTTACATTTTCACTTGTCTTTAGAGAATGGACATGCTCCGACTTGCCGTGACCATAACACCCAGTTTTAGCCCTCAAGCCCAAGAACATGCAACACACTCACCTTTTTACATGATCCATAAGTGCCATCCACCTTTGGGGGTCTCCTCCGCCTCTCAGGCATGTAAGGAGAAACAAAGCGTATGTAGTGTTTAGGAAGTGTGTTGATGGAAGGGGAATGAGACAGTCCAGGTAGCATGTTAAGGGTGGTTGCCAACACTGTGGGATCTGTGGTAATCCGCAGCGGCTGATCCATAGGACAGTCCTGTTTCTCCACCTTGTCATTTAACCATTCTGTTACCAAATACTGAAAAGGAACACAGGCGTCTTAGAAGCAAATTCTGCATGCTATTTTTTTTCTTTTTTTTTTTTTTTTTTTAAATACAGCCACATCAGTTTCATGTGGTTATAAAACCTATTTTGACCTGCAGCCAGTACAATTGCATATTCTTTAACTGCCAAAAAAAAAAAAAGTCACGTTCCTGCAATATGGGAAAATTCAGTGCACATGGTGTGTAAAGAGCCCCCTCAGAAACCTAATTTCCTGGCCAGTGTGAAATAGTTTTAGGTTTTCACTTTTACCAAAAATTACATAAAAAAAAAAAAAAAAAAAAAACCCTTCTCCATGGGCTAAAGACCTTATTACCAACAGGCTAACAAATACCAGTTTTAAACGTTCCCTCTGTATAGGAAAATATTACCAACCTTTTTAGTCTTGTGGTATTTAAGGCTAGCACGGGTTGGCTGGGTCACTGTCTGGGCAACGGCGGGCGATTCTGACCCTTGCGGGGCATCGCCCGTTCCTAAAGCTTCTGAAGCACCAGTCTCTGTGGTTCCTGAACTTGCAGTTCCTTCCTCAGCCACTGGGGGTGCCAGTTCCACCTGCTGTGCCACAGCTTGCCTTCTCCTTAGCCTTTGAGCGGAAGCACTTCGATAACGTGACATGCGGCTTTTCGGACGTGGCCTTGTGGATTTTGGTGTCACCGATTTAGGAGTAGGTTTCTCTGCAATTGTTTCCTGTGCAAAAATGTTTTCAAGATAATTAGCAGAAAAACGACACTAATATTTTTTTCTTATGCTGACTTTGCTCTCAATAGCACACAATGTAACACAGAAATTGGTGCAAAATTTGACAAAATATAAGGAAGATTTAATGTGATACAATGCCACTACAACCACCATTGTTTTAGCAGCTGCATCACATACAAATTAGTTGCTAGATTTGACAATTACATCCACATCATTTGAATAACTGCAGAATGGTACAAGGTTTCCTATAAGCAGGGGCGGACTGACAACTCATGGGGCCCCCGGGCAATAGGGGATTATGGGGCCCCTGTGACCTCGCCCACACCCAAAAAAGCCTATGAAAAAGCCAATGAAAGGTACCAGGGGCATCTCATGGGACCCCCTACTGACCCCGGGCCCTCGGGCAGTGCCCGAGTGCTCGAATGGTCAGTCCGCCCCTGCCTATAAGCCAATACAGTCACAGAGTTTGTGTGAATCTGAGGACAGAATGGATAAAATTTCAAATCTTTTAGCAGGCAAACACCTCCCATATATTTCAAAAGTGTATTTAGTCATTAGCCTGGCTTTCAGCTTTACCCGCTTCCCGACCGCCCTATACTAGAACTACTGCTACAGGGCGGCAGGGCTACGCAAAATCACATACACACGTGATTTTGCATTTCCTCCACCCCTACCCACGCCACCATTGGTGGCTACAGATGTTTATCACCGGGACTCAGCCAGAGACTCCCCGCCGGCACCCAGCGATTGCCGAGTATCACTGACAGGGAGAGACCTCTGTAAACACAGGTCTCTCTCTCCTACCAGCAGTAACATGCTGCTTTGTATTCCTCTGCACAGCAGAAAAATACACAGCAGTATGTTTCCCTAGTAACACACACATAGCACACTGTTAACCCTTCGATCACCCCAGATGTTAACCCCTTCCTGTCCAGTGTCATTAGTACAGCATCAGTGCTTTTTATTAGCAATGATCATTGTATTAGTGTAATTGGGATGTCAGTGGCAGTTAGTTCCCCCTCAGTATCAGAATGCCCGCTGCAGTCTTGCTCTAAGTCGCTGATCACCACCATTACTAGTATAAAAAAAAAAAAAAAAAAAACAATCCAGTGTATATTCCATTTGTAAAAATGTACGTCTTTCACATAAAACAATTTACATGTATTGGGATTTTTTGTTTAGCAAACACATGTAGCAGGATACATTTTGGCCTAAATTTAAGGAGAAATTTGATTTACATTTTTTTTACTGGATAGGTTTTATAGCAAAAAGTAAATACATGTTTTTTTTCCACAATTGTCGGTCTGTTTTGTTGGAGGACATAAATTTCATTTATGTACAGCGTTGTATGACCGCGCAATTATCAATTTTAAGTAACTGAATGCCATATCGCAAAAAATGGCCTGGTCAGGAAGGGGGGGAATCCTCTGGAGAGCAAGTGGTTAAAGTATCTGCAAAACATTTCTCTGAAAATAATAAACGTTACACTTACCTGCTCTTTGCAATGGTTTTGCACAGAGAGGGTATGAACCTTTTTTTCCTAGGGTCCCCTGCCTGCGATCTAGGCTATTTTCGCTTTTCCCACTGGCCCCTTAGCAAGCCGCCTGCTATAAGGGCACTTGTGCATGCACAATCCTGAGCCGGGCTGTGTGCATCCATAGATATACACAGCTTGGCTCAGCCCCACCCCCTCTTCACAGGGTTTGACTGACAGCAGCAGGAGCCAATGGTTTTTGCTATTGCTAAATCTCATAGGAGAAGAAAGGGGAGAAAAGCTCCAGCAGACAGGCACAGAGCTGGATTGAGATCAGACTCAGGTAGGTGCTTAAGGAGGGGCTGGGGGAGGAGCAGCTTTTGAAAGGTTTTTTTTACCCTAAACACAAAGAATACATTAAAATTTAAAAAAAAAACCCTTTGGCTTTTATAACCACTTTGAACTGACCACTACTTAGCATATAAAATGTTGAATGACAGCCGGCCTCCTTACCAGGGCTTGTGATGATCTCCTGGTGTTCACTCCCAGGGTGGGAGTGGCTACAGGTTCCGGTATCATGGGAGACTCTGGTTCTGGCTCTGGTTCTTCGGCCTTAATTGCAGGCTCACAAGCTGCCTGATCGGCAGCAGGTGCTTCGGGCTCAGGAGCAACTGGTTCAGATGGCTGTTCTCTGCGCCGCCTTCTCTTATCAGAGGTGTCCACCACATGTGGGGCAGGTTCAACTTTCTTCTCCTCTTTTGACTACAATATTTAAAACATGAATTTAAAATGGAGTTTCATTATTTCCTCGCTGCAGGGTTTCTACTTTATTAGAAAAAAACTAAGTCTCTTTGAAAATACAGCAAGTCAAGGCATAAGCAATTACAGGAACATGTGCTCACACTTCTACACTTGGAAGACAGTTTGTGAATTCAAGGGCTATAAGTAAATGGCCTGAACATATACTAAAAAAGCTTTACCCCTGTAAGGTTTATTTTTCCCATTGGGCAGATTTCCCTTCAACTTCTATCCCATAGTCAAAACAGGAAGTGAGAAAATCCCTCAAAGAAAGAAATCCATAGTTGTCACTAGGGTCAACAGTACTGGCATCCCCTATGGAAAAAAATCTCCACTATTCCTGTTTTTTATATTCACTTTCATTGCTAATCATAAACAGGACTAAAAGAGTGAATCTCCCAACAGATAGGCAATTAAAATTGAAATATCCTCCTGCGCTCAACTATGAAATTACCTAATACCGAATACATCCTGAGGTATAGGAAATAGGTGATAGAATCTCCCAACAGGTGTACAGACAGCAATAATATATAATATATATATATATATATATATATATATATATATATATATATATATATATATATAAAAATTCTAACCCCTCTCTGTATTAAAAAAAAAAAAAAAAATGTTTTGCCTTTAGTTATATAAAACCAATCATCAAAATGAAAATCCAGGGATATAGATGGCTGAAATACACAAATTGTGACTTATTTTGTGTTAAAGCCTTCCTCAGTCATACATGGTTCTAAGCATCCCTGTACATCCTTACATATGTCAATGGCTGCCACGCTGACCAATAGGGAAACTTAAGAGGTCCAGCTAGACTTTCACAGAAAAAGTTGATATTTACATATAATTTCAGAAACTTCTATCTCTGATTTCCACATCCAATTCTCACTGAAGGCAACCTCTTCATGCTACAAACTGATTATGTGCAGACTATACAATAAAAGGAAGAACTCACCCTTCTAGTTCGAAAAGTGGGTCCAGACTCCTCCTCCTTCGTATCTTCCTCTTTAACTGCAACCTCCCCTTCAGCCTTTTAAATGACATAACATGGCAGAGTTAGAAAATGTATTATCCAAACACAGAAAAGGACAGGATTGAAATGATGGCAACATAAAAGCCACACATTTAAAGCAAACCTGTCACTGGTTAAAAAAAAAGGAGGAGTACAAAGAGTAGGCTTTGAGAGTTTGGCATTACCAGTATATTCCTTTAACTTATAGTCTAAGAAAGTTGCATTTCATCTGTAAAACAGACATCGTCATGACTAAAGGGCCCCCTTACACATTTTTTGTGCATTTGCATTGTGGGTCAAATAAAAAATAAATGGACATGCACAACAATGTTTGAAGAGATCCTAAAGACAGACTTTAATAAGGCACATAAAGAAAACTGGTACTGAAAAAACAGGACATCATTACTGAGCTCTCCTCCTGAGAAATGCTAGTTGTATTTTTTTTTACTCACCTTTATCGAATGTCTTGTGGCTGCTCACATGATGAGCTGGGTCCTCTGCTGCTTTGGTCTTTTTCTGGCGGTCCTGGACAATCCAGCGAGCAGTCTTCTCGTGATTACATAAGTGGCACTTTTTGAATTAATACACTGACTGCATGACTCTGTGCTCAATGAGCGGGGCCATGGCATTACGCACTCACATTATTTCCCCAAGTCTTCCTGGGTTAAGCGGGACTAGGACATCTTGCAGTGAAGAAGTGGTACTGTGGGGGACAGCTCAGGATTTAAAAGGAGAGTATCGCAGCCAGAGCTGCAATACCATTTTTATATTTTTGCAAGCCAGTAGGAAAAAAACTGGCCTGGAGTTGGGCTTTAAAATACAATATGCAAAGATAATGTAAAGAAGATTGATTTTTTTTTCTAATTAGTTTAATCTGGTAAGCCCTGTACAGATCTTTACTATGTATTGTGACTAGAGAAAAATGAAATGTTGCCATGGACCATAACTACAGTTGTTCCTTGTCCACCCAATTTAAACAAAAACTGTTTTTTTTACCTCAATGTCACCAATAGCTGAATCTTCAGCAGGGGCATCTGCCAGTTCATCGTTTTGGGGATTGGTGCCATCATCCAGCACATAACCTTGCAGTTCCAACTCTCTTCTTCGTGCCTTACGGTGCCTTGTCTCTGCTCCGATAGTTAGTGCTGGAGGGAGAGGTGGTGGCAAGTCTGCGGCAATGGGATTCCGCTTCTGTACTGGACAGTTCCGATTCCCTTTGTGGCACGCGCAATCCACCTTATAATTACTGCAAAGCAAGATGGACGAGTCATCAAGTGCTGTTTCAAATCAAGGTGCGAAAGTAACGCATTCTCCTACAAGATTATTTGAAAAGTAATTTTTTTACAATGCTGATCTGAAGACTGAAATACAGATCACAGACGCCTCTTAAAATACTGGAGAATGCACATTCACAGTTCAGACCAGGGTGGATAAAAATCAATGATTTAAAAAAAAAAAAAAAAAAAAAAAAAATCTGATTTTTTTTTTATTTAAATCTGATTTTTTTAAATAAAATGCTTTTTGAGGAAAATATATTACCATCCAAAGGTTATTCCATAATGAAATAAAGATTAGTTTTTTAATTATGTAGAATAAGGCTGTATATGTTTAATTTTTTTGGTAAATAAATTCCATGAATCCATTCACAATGTCATGCTCTTCCAGAGGTTTTTGTAAGATTATTGGGCAGTTTCTCTGCCTACAAGATATTATCACAGATGCTCGGTTTTACTTTTGCAGTTCTCAAAACTGAATTTGACTCAGCGGAGATCACATGCCTCTTCTTCACAGCAAAAATGTTATAACATGAACAGAGTTAAGAAAAAGACCTTCATCCTAACTTCTACAAACCTATGAATACAGAATCAACCCCTTCAGTGCTAAGTTTCAAGAAGTTCAGTGAATAGAATAGAAACAATATTTTTTCTGATTGTTTGGAGTGGAATAGATCTGCACAAGAAGAAAGTGAAACTAAGTGTGAGGAGGAAGAAGGGGCTGACAGTCTAAGTTTCTTAAAATATATATATTTTGTTTAGCCAAATTAGTTACAAACATGGATGTTTAAGCAAATCACATATGCTGGAATGTTATGGTTTCAGTTGAATAAATCTATTTAAATTATTATTAAGGTAATGATTATTTTTCTCCTTCCTAAGTACAACAGAAAAGTTGTCCAAATATGAATGATTAACCTATTAAACTGGGGATAAAAAAACTAATATGAAAAGTTGTTGTTCTAAAAATCTTCATCTGCTTGCATATTAAAGTTATACCAGCAAGAATTAGTCTTTATGTAGAAAACTAGGATTTAAATCAAGCCTTACTGACTAGTGATTTAAATCAAATCCACCCTGCTTCAGACTGATACATGGAAAGCGTCATACGGACACATGATGGCTTTGGATAAATTTGTTGCCAAGTGGCTGCATCTCTTCAAATTTAAAACCTTACAGAGTCAATGACCTCAGTTAACAAGTCCGCTGCTACATGTACAACTCCAGGATTTTAGTGCAGGTTTCAGAGCCCAGGGCTGTTCATAGTAAAAGGTTCATCCTTAATCAGGTATTTTTAAAATAAACATAAAAGCATCAAAAAGCCAGCATGGTTTTGCTTACAGCAGCATATTCCCGAAGTGAAGGCCGCTAGTTTGCATCTTTGCTTTGTGTTACTTGCGGATTTTAATTAAGGATGAGCAACATCCTCCTACTCTGAACTAAAGGGAGGGGTACTTACCCCCATCTCTTCCATTACCCCTGCATGTGCTGATGAGGAAATACCCTGTTTTATCTGCCCATCAGAGACATTGTAGTTTATCTGCATGCATTAAGAAGTGGTTTTGCATAAAAGCTCCCCAGAACAGAGCTACAGCCAAATGCCTGAACACTGGCAAGGACGACACTTAGCTGCAAGCATGCAGAGACTGACTGATCATTGTGCCAGCAGAACAGCAGGAGATCCAGTGCAATGCCAGCCTGGCTGATAGTAGGCATCCCAGCTCTTACTTTATGTCAGCTTTTGCCAGTGGCATTTGTGTTCGTCTGCAGCACTTTTATTTATCTAAAACTTCATGTTTACAGGCAGTGGACATGCTACAGGCATAGACTGGATATTAAACGCTAACAATCTTTTGGACCATGTTATACCAGTATTTTGCACCCGTGTCAGAACTTGTATTTCTGAATATAAAACACGCATCTAGCTCTGCTACTGAAGCTTGTACATCAGTCGGGGGGAGGTCTACAGGAGCATGACACTGCACCTATGATTCACCGATCATAGGTGCAATACTTGAACCCACTGAGAAAAAAAAAAAAAATAAAATAAAAAAATACCAAATATTGCTGCAGGGAGAAAATGTACATTTATTGATCTGGAAAATGTTGTGGTCTAGAATCTATGTTTATATCGTCGGAATACATGACTATGTACCCCTTTTATATTACAAAGCTGTAAATTGTTGATACTAACGCCACACTATGTTGGATATTGCGGTTGTATGAATATATGTATACATGGATCCAAACTTCAATAAAGATCTGATTTAAAAATAAAATGTACATTTATTATTTCATTTAAATCAACTTCGTCTTAGTAAAATGAACCCAATATTTTTAAATAAAGCATATCTAAACCCAAGAAAAACACCATTTCAGCTTACCACCCAACAGATGTGGTTGCTGCACTCATTCTCTTTTCAGGCATTTCTTCTTTATTTTCAACTGCCGATTGTGTCAGTAACACTTCCTGTCACAGCATGACAACATTCAATCATTGCACTGTATCTAGGGGGGAGCAGCATGACCAAACTTTGCTGCTTTCTGGATTTGGACTATATACACTTCTTTTCTCTCAATAACTTAGGAGAAAGTATTCTGTAGTTTAGCGTATAGAACTCGGGAGATTTCAGTTCGGTGCACAGGAAGTTACAAGGACACAATAT